AAACTAAGACCCCGAAAACTAAGATCCCGAAAACTAAGACCCCCCGTCTTTTCATTGATTTTCACTTCTCCGGTGGTTCTTAGCTGAAAACTAAGACCTAAGACCTAAGACCTAAGACCTAACACCCCGAAAACTAAGACCCCGAAAACTGAGACCCCGAAAACTGACCCCGAAACTAAGACCCCGAAAACTAAGATCCCGAAAACTAAGACCCCCCGTCTTTTCATTGATTTTCACTTCTCCGGTGGTTCTTAGCTGAAAACTAAGACCTAAGACCTAAGACCTAAGACCTAACACCCCGAAAACTAAGACCCCGAAAACTAAGACCCCTCGTCTTTTCATTGATTTTCACTTTTCCGATGGTTCTTAGTTTTCGTAATTACGAAAGGTCATCACGAAAACTAAGACGCAATATTATTTTTCTTGTTTATCAATTTCTCTTTTTTTTTATTAAATAGAATATGTTGAAGCGAATAATAGAAAGCAATTAACACCCCGTCTTTTCAATGATTCATGACTTCTCCGGTGGGTCTTAGTATTCGTAATTACGAAACCTCATTACGAAAACTGAGACCCCATCTCATTTTTCGTATTTGTTAAATTCGAATCGGGGAATCCCGTCATTTTCAGCCGATTTCCCTTTTCGTATAAGCTGGGGAAGCTCGAATTTACGAAAATTCGACATAGCTCTAGCCGCGTGGCATTTTGGCCAACAAACGTCCAATAATTGGAATTTATTTATTTATTTATTTATTTATTTAATCACTTTCACCAGAGTGTGGTGAGGGTCGCACAACAGAGCGAGGCTCCAAATTAAGTGCGCCCTATATCCCACCCATCCCACCCCAGGGGAGGACATCCATCACACAGTAATCTCGTGTGTGGGAAATTAACGTCTCCTACCCCAACCCTGCAGGAGACGGGACCTCCATTTATTCGTCCCTATCCGAGAAGACTAGAATATCTAACCATTTCTTGATGTTATAGAAAGGTAGCAAATTCTTCTCAATTATATTTAAGACCTTGAGTGTTGGTCCGGCCGGGGAGGTCGAACCCTCGACCTCCCCGCACAACAGTCTAACGCACTATCCATTGGGCTAACTGGGCGGCGGTTAACCTCAATGAGACCCTCTTTTTGGTGTAGGTGTGTTATAAACTTCTACAGGTGCAAAAAGGAGCTATTTTTTAAAACTGAGAGCGCCTCTCTTTCTTACATCGACTTTCTTTGAAGACAAATTTGATGAAAACATTTTTAAAAATACCAAGCAAACGAACAAACAACTAAGATAACGACAGTAACCGGAACTAACCCTCAAGAACAACTGAATTGAGGTGCTTCGTCAAGTATTCCAAAGTATTGGGCATCTTTCTTTGGAAGTTGGCAGCAGATGTGGAATCAAACATGATCAGTGAGATATCCAGTGGAATACCACCATTCTGTACTGATCTTGATAGTACTTCATCTTTTGGTATGACTTGCATGTGCACATCACTCTTTACCTCACCGGACGTCGTAACAACATCGACTCGGATTAAATCAGATTTGACCTTTGCTTTGCCCAAAAAACTTCCTAAGAAGTTAAAGCAGACATAAAAAAATAATAGATTACATTGTCGCCCTGTTTGAATTGAAAAATGCTTTCGGATGCAATTTCTATTTAATCCACCAAACCTGTCCAGTCCCCCTACCTAGAACAAGAAATAAATAACTCTTAATAACCGAGTTTGAAGTTCGTGCTGTTAGTTGCAGACCGATTGAAGAAAACGAAGTTTCGTAACTTACAGTACAGACCGAAAGAAGGGCTTCGTGAGGTATTTATTATATGTCTGGGTTCAAATAGAATGGGACGATTTTAATACAAACAAAGTTATGAGTTTACCGAGCCGTACAGTGAATACGGCCCGCTAAATTGACCAGTCATGGTGCATGTATTTACTGAATCAACAGAGATATATGATAAAAGCCATTATGACTGAAGCTTCACCTTAAACGCTATGAGGAGCCTCAGCATCGCAAACTGATTGTAGCAAGCCGAGGGGAACACTTGTAGTGACGCAGATGCGCCGTGAGTGAGGCGCTCGCAAAAGTTGCTCGAGCTCCCGCGGCGCATCGAAGTCACTCCTTGAGCTTCCCGCCGCGCGCTAAACACGAAGGCGCGCTATTAAAGGAGCCTTAGGTGCCATTGGACCATTTGTCAATCAACCGTCGTGTGATGCAGAACTCTTAGAGTCAAGTCAGCTTGAGCTACAGCTACTCCAAAGCAATGAACAGCGGGCGCATTCCTCAAAATTGTTTTATGTCGTCATCACAATGCAAGAATTTTTGAGATTTGTATTTCCTTTCTCCAATGGAAACTGTCTTTATTTGTGGCGGTAAATTTGAGATCGAAGTAGGTGGTTCGCACGTTACCTCAGGCCACCATGCTGGTGGAAGTAGACAATAGATATCTCATTAGCTCCTTTTGTTCGTCTACCAGCATTTAAATTTGACCCGCACACGTTAACGGTGAGTGACAAATGAGCCTCGGTCTTCCCAGGGAAGACTTCCTTATATAGCGCGCCTTCGTGTTTAACCGAAAAGAAGGGAATGTTCGAATCTAGTCATGAGATGACATCATTTATCATCTATGACGATACGATGAAATTTACCCGTTCATCATACTTACCAGGGTTTGAAGAAGCCGACTTACTCCGAAAGAACCAGGACCACTGAAAACGAAAACAAAGGCGGCGACAGGTTACTAAGGTTTGGTTGACCGTTTTAAAACCTCAAGAACGACCATTTTTTCCTACAATATCACACTGAGTCAAACACTAAGGCCACAAGAATGAAGGAGATAATCACCAACTAAAGAAGCTCTTAATTGATTATTAGACAAGTCAAGTCTTGATACTATTGGCTTCCGATTCTATCAAATGAAATAATTTCTAACCTGGTTCCATAAAACAGCTTTAAATTGAAATTGAACACGTTTTAGCTATGGTGTAATTGGGGAATAAATCTGAGCTAATTACTCATAAATTTTATTAGATTAATTTGTGGTTGAGGCTGATGGGCAGATTTCGTTTTCAGATGAAAAGAGTACTTTATATATAGTGAAAAGAAGTAGTCATTTTGAAATGTACCATTGTAATAGGTAAAAGCTCCAAGTTTCCTTCAGTAACACTTAACAAATATTATGGTGATCCGCAGGATTAGTGGCTGTTTTCCATTTATTCGTCTATTTTTGTCTTTTTATTTTTTCTTATTTGGCCTATTCCGCAACTATAGCGGAAATTTTCATTTTCGTCGAAGAGAGACAAGAAATGCGTTAACCCCCGCCATTTGGTAGTCCTCGAGTAAACAAATTTTTACTAATTTGACTTGTATTGCTTTTTGTGCAACTTGCGCGGAACGGACCTGTTATTTGTTACACGTTTATCTCAAACAAACCCTGTTCAAAAGAAAGCAAGGAAGTTCGTCAATCTGTCTTCAACGCGATACTAGCAAGTAAAATTTCTCACCGGAATGAATCCCCTTTGATTTGGTTGTGCAGTCGGCTTGACCAGGTTCACCATCTCTATGGGATCGGAAAGTTCAGCCTTCGAATCATCTCCACGCGGTCTTTGAATCATTCTATATCTTCCGGAATATATCCCTTTTCCTTTCACTTCGAGAATGTCGCCTTTGAAGTTTGAAAATATTTCTCCCTTGCACTCAAGCTTGCCAAGATCTTTCATAAATTTCATTATGGTAGGGTGATATGGATCCAAGTTAGGGAGACGACAGGCAGAACTAGACTGCACGAAACGTTTAACATATTTCGCACGACTTGACCAGGTTCCGCTCAAGTTATGAGAGCTCGAAGGTAAAATATCATACCCTTTAAAATACAAAACTGTCAAAATTCCACCGCTAATAAGAAGGATTTTAAAAGCGAAGCGGAGGCAACGTAACTGCATTCGGTTTGGGAGAATAAGATGTAATCTTTGTCCTTTTATCATTTCATCAACAGAGCAATTGCAGTTATAAGGCGCGCGCAGGTACCAGTGTGGCGCTGTCGCATGAACAATAAAGTTTGTCGTAACCTGAAAAAAAAAAAGACCCGTTAAAGACACCCACATTTATTGTTCACTCGCGCATTTGATAAGTATATATAGATAATGGCAGAGACTACGTGGCTACATAAAGCACTTAAAAAAATAACGGTCCCTTTTTTGAAGTTGAACGATTTTTAAACAAGTGTTTACTAAAAGATTGAAGTTAAAAATCGTGTGCGTAGCATGGCAATCGTCACTAATGTGTTAATTTTACGGGGAAATGTTGTGTGTTAGTGTTTAGGGAGTGTCTCGAAAAAATTCGATTCTCGATTAACTTCTTTCTCAACTTTAGGATTTTAATTTTTGGGGTAAGGCCCCACTATTGAGGGAATTTCAACCCGAGTTATGTAAATGTGGTCGTTTTAAAATTACGATACCGGAAAGTTTTTATTGTTGATTTATCAGCCGAGATCAAGACAGGATACTGTTTCCGGAGGGAGCTCCAGATTAAGTTCTGTAGACAAATTTTGATTAAGTTTTAAGCCATTGTGCAAAATTTGAAACCAGCTCCTCATATGGATGAGGAACTTCAGCTCATTGAAGTAAGAGCATTTCTTCTAGTTTTACTATCATGATGTTTCCCGGGCGTTAATTCGAAGTTAGCCCTATTTATCTAGGAAATGGCAACATAGAACTTTTCCTAATTTTCTCCACGCGAAATACTACATGTAAAAATGATCAATTTGGATCAAGTTTCTATGACACTGGAATGTATCTGCCGCGACAAGCCTTTAGATCGGTAAGAGATTATTTGAACAGGGAAAAACTGGGAAATTTCTCTTTTCTTTGTTTCCTTTTTGCTTTTCTGAGTTGCCTTTTTCACCAATTGTTTTTGTCTCCTTTTGCTCGCTTTCTCCAGTAGATACGAAGATACACCATAATTAAATGTGAATTCTTGCAAAAGGATGAGTTACCTATAATGCAATGTATATGTTAATCATACGAGCTACAATATTACAAAAATAAATGAAAAAGTCAATGAAGTTAGTCCTTTCAATTTATATAGAACACACGACCATGAAAAGGTGCAGCGAAAATATGTGGGCTTTCGGATGAAAATCTTCGTAAAAAAATCTGATCGCTCCTTGTAAGAGTTCACCCACAGGCCTCAACTACTATACCCTACTGCGCATTTTCGTTTCTATTTTTCAAGTTTCGTTTGTTTTCATTGTCGTTTTAGTTAGCCCGACAGGGCTGAATAACGAAATGCTACGTCAGATGGTATGCGGTCATCAACGCGGGCTCAAGTGTTCTAGGTCTAAAATTGAGCTAAATTAGCGGAAAATAATAAGGGCTGACATACAAAGCCGAGGAACTTTGTTTTCGTCAAGGGCATTTTCCTATTTCCAGGGGTTTTATGGAGGGTTTTTTTTTTTGTTTTCGAAAAATTTTTAGGGGTTGTACCAGGTTTTTGGAGGTTGCTCTGTAAAAGAAAAGCGGCAAGGAAAACGACGCCCCGAACCAACAGAATAAGAAATCAGCCCTGCAATTGCAAACTACTCAAAAATCCGTTTTCCGCGTAAAACCTAGCGAATGCGCATACGTTATTTAGCTCTGTCAGTTAGCTCTAATTTTCATTATGATCGCAGCGATCCCTGGAAACATGTGACAAGCGGTTGGCGAACATCGCGCCGATCTTCGTGACGATCGTGGCGATTTTCCTGACGATCGCGTATAATCACATGCCAGTAGGAACACCCTGGGGTATTCTGGGATTCGTCAATCCTTTTGGGATACCTTGAATATTCATTAAAATACCTAATAAAGTAACTATATTAGACAAGGAGCTATATTAGACAAGGAGCTATATTAGACAAGGAGCTATATTAGACAAAAATTTGTATTATTAGCATGCCATTAGGATGAATTCTGTCTGTCTTCAGTAATGAATTTTATACCATTACTGTACACTTCTGTCACTGGAAACGTATCCACCACGATAAATAGAAAATCTTCACAAGCATGCCATTAAGACGAATTCTAGCTGTCTTTAGTAACTGAATTTTAAACTATTACTGTACACGTCTGTCACTGGAAACGCATCAACCATGCTAAAAAAAAAAGTCTTCAAACTGAGCTATCATCATGCACGCTGTCTCAAGCAGTAACAGTATTTCCGTAAAAGAGGATATTTATCTTGGACACAGTGAGGTTGATGTCCGTAAGCGTCCAGGCGGCTGATATCTCCCGCGAGTGACGGAACCCCCTTCTTCATTCGAACAGTTACTTCATAGAAGCCTTCATTAGGTGACGTCACGAACTGCAGCTGATACATTGTATCGCGGGCTAAAGTATTAATTGACTTTTTACCATAGTTTAAGCCACATGAATCACATTTTTCGTTGCGGTACGACGAATGAAAAAACTGTATATCTGCGTTTGGCATGTCACGGAAAGAGCTCTTAATTTCTTTTAGAACCAATTTGTGGCACTGCGTTTTCAACTCGGAGTGCTGAAAAATCAAATCGTTTATAGAGGTAACTGCAAATTCGGCTGATTTCTTTATGATTGGTTCCTCTATGGAGACTTCTTCCAAGTTCAAGCATGGGCACCAGTGCTCCTCAACTCCAGCACTTGCGCATGTGCGTTTATCTTTGTCAATTTTAGTAAACAGACTTTGACCAGTTATAATATCACTGGGGTACTTGGGATACGACAGGATATGACGCAGAGTAGCGTACACGTCAAACGGTGAGGTCAGTACTTTGGAATTATGGATCAAATTCGCGTAGAGATCTGGATACTTCTCAGTAAACCACTTTGGGACTGTCATGGACATAAATGGAAGTCTTTCCTCTAATTTCCCCTGGAGTGTCTTCCTTATCCCAGTATATCGAATACCATGATCGCCAAAAATAATCAAAATAGTATTCTCCAGAAAAGACTCTCTTTCTAAAGTTTGTAGTGTTCTTTTCAAATCATCATCGACATAACCTATTTTGTTCAGATCGTCATGACTTATAACAGCATGCAACATGAAAGAGAACTTGGGTTTCTGCTTGTATGCACGGAAGAAATCAACCAGATAGTCAAGGGACATGTTATGAAATGCTCGCCCGCCGATACAATGAACCAACCGTTGTGTGATGTTGTCTGCCTCCATCCACAATGGTCGGGCGAAATGGTCAGTGGGTGGATCTTTAAATCCATGCAGACGGTAATTAAATGCTGCATAAACTGTCGAGTCCTCTGAAAACAGGGTTGCGTATCCTTTCTGCTTTAAATCTCGAAAAATCCACCTCCAGTTATCAACTGTCGTAGCATTTGGTTCACTTCTTCTTGCCTCTGGTTGTTCCTTTTCAGCTATACCAGTAAGCATTGCACACAATTGAGCTGTTGTACCATCTCCCACAATTGTTTCACCTAGTATTAGTAACAAATACACCTTAGAAACTAGTCATTATTTACTTCGCCTTGAGCGGGGTCGGAGGATTTTGACTGTGTCATAATAAAATTTACCCGACTCCTATCGGAGGAAGTTATAATTTTCAGGAATTCTCCTCCCTTGATAGTTATGTGCTGACACCAATATCAAAATTTATGCAAATAGGGAAGAGAGGAGGGGAGGGGAGGGGACTACATGGGATGCAAGAAACACTTACTTTTCTATAGTTCCCCTTCTTTCTCTGTTAACGACGACTGATCCCCCCTCCGTTTACCCTGAAAACCATATGTGATCCCCCCAATTCCTTCTTCATAAATAATCACTGGTTCCTTATAAGATCGTTTAACATGTAATACACGCAGATATTTTGCGAGTTGTGTAGTATTTTCCGAACCCCGTAGGGGTGAACAAAAATACGAGCAAAACGTATTTAAATGACTAAAAACAACGTAAGCGAATCATTGAAGTGCTTTTCAATGACTAAAAAAATTAACAGCAGTCTATGACTGCATGTACTTATTGTTGTACATTTGTAGAGAATTGAAGTAAAAAAGAATGTGATGTAAAATGTAGAGGGGTTAATGAAGAGCTCGTGTCGATGCCAAAATTGTGACAAAAGGAGGACTTGGTTAGAACATAGAGCCGATGTGCAAGCCTATGAGCTGTTGGATATCATCTTGACCAAAATAAAATTCAAGCATTTACACGGAAATGCATGATTACTAATAGATCCGTGTTCGAATCTTTGACGGTGAAGGTTAAAACAACTTTTTAACTTTTCAAAGCAGTTCAAATCATTCCACGTTGCCACGGCTTATGCCATCAGTACTTCTCGTTGCGTCGTCCATTTTAACAACTATACCGGAAACTAAACACTGATATTTTGATTAAAACAAACAAACAAACAAACAAACAAACAAACCTTGAAGAACAACTGAATTGAGATGTTTTTTCAAGTACTCCAAAGTGTGGGGCATCTTTCTCTGGAAGTTAGCTGCAGATGTGGAATCAAACATTATCATTGAGATATCAAGGGGAATACCACCAGGCTTGGCCGGTCTTGATAACACTTCATCTTTTGGTACGATCTGCATGTGTACGTCGCTTTCGATCGCACCTGAAGTCTTCACAACATCAACACGAAGGTATTCGGCTTCCACGACTGCCTTACCATAAAATGGGGATGGTGCGCGATCTGCGTCACGAAAGGAGAAAAAGACAGACAAAGGATGTTATGTAAGTTTGTGCACTGTTCGCCATGAAATTTCAAATTATCCTGGATCCAGTGGTCTCCATAGCTTTGCAGCCGTTGTTCGGTCTCGTAAGGGATAAAGCACGTCAAGTGACGAGACCAAAGAACGGCTGTGATAGAGACTAGGATTCCGTACAGGCGCTCGATTTTAATCAGACCGACGCCCACGTTAGGCCCATAAGCATGCGACAGAAGTCAAACACGCAAGCGAGAGGTCTCTCATAGACATGTTGCACGCACTCCCCTCAAGCGTGTGCACCACGAGTGGATGAGGACTATGAAAAACGATTTAAAATAAAAGGGACTGGTTTGTACCACCAAATGTGGCCGATTTGTCCTTCTTTCTTCCGAAACAGGGAAAAGTTTCCAAACTAATTATATCGGAAAGTGCAGATGATAGGAATTTTTTAGTGACCTTAACACTATTTTTTTGAAACGTGTATGGCACTTCCCAATCAATTTATTCTTTAATTAAAGGCAACTAACAAGTGCTATTGTGAAGAGCTTTCGACAGCGTTACACTTGTTATTTTGTCAGAGTAAAACTGTGCCACAGTAAATTCAATTTGTTCTTATGTTCTCATTTGTTCTTTACTGCGCCAGGGTCCCGTTACTATGACGTGTACTTACATCCTTTGATCCAGTTCCACAGTTTTCTGAACAAACCTGTTGAAAAACAAAAAACAACAATCAGAAAGGGTGTTTTCCTTAATTCCTTCCCTAGCTATTAACAAACAAGATGAAAAGATGCTAAGGGTACAACCAGGAATTTGGCGAAAAGTACCATCAGAAGCCATTCCATTTGGTCATCCGACATACTGACAGGCGAATTAGAGGTTTGGGACTTGACGGCAAAATGCAATACAGCCAAGACTTTGTGTATGCGTGTAACCACTGTGATATACGCCACATCAACCGAAAAAA